TGCTGTTGCTGCTGCTGCTGCTGTTGCTGTTGCTGCTGCTGCTGTTGCTGCTGCTGTTGCTGCTGCTGTTGCTGAGAGCAGCACCGAGTTCAGCTTCTAAATGCAGCAAACTTAAAAGAAGTTCGGGGGCTAACCAATTTGCTTCTTGAGGGCTGTTTAATATCTGCATGTACACCCCAAGACAAATCAATCAAAATATGCATCTTCAGGTGTATACACAACAATAAAATAAAATAAAAATAAAATAAATATTATATACATCTGCATATAAACATACATTTAAATAAAAAAGTATATATATATATATTTATATACAACAACAAGTATAAATATAAATATATAAAAATATAGGAAATATACATATAAATACACGCAAGTAAATATAAAATGAATATAATAATATAAACAGAAAAAAACAAAATAAAAATATAAATATAAATATAAATACACAAACAAATATAAAAATAAAACAAACAAACAAACAAATTAATTAATGCAAATAAATAAATAATAAATAAATAAATAAATAATAAATAAATAAATAGTAAATAAATAAATAGTAAATAAACAAACAAATAAATAAATAAACAAACAAATAAATAAATAATAAACAATAAATAAATAAATAATTAATAAATAAATAAATAATAAATAATAAATAAATAAGTAATGCCTGACCCAATGAAGCAGCTGAAAAGAGTTAATTGCGCCCTGCATGCCGGCAGAAAGAAGATAAAAAATGCTGAGGAGGCGGATGTTTCCTGTTGGCTCTGCGAGTTTAATAATATTATTATTAACAAGCATAATATTATTAGGGTGTATCCTCAGGTGCGCAGCATTAGCTTCTCTATGAAATGCTGCAGCAGCATTCAGCAGCAGCAGCAGCAAACCCTTTGAACCCTCTTGTCTAAATCTCTCTTCTATAAAACTATCAAACAAATGTCCAAGAGGATATTTGTCTAATAAACTGCTGCTGCACATCTCCATCACTATAAACAGAGACGCTTCTTCTTCTTCTTCATCTTCAACGTCACCTTTAACTGCTCTCTGCTGCTGCTGCTCTACCTGTTGCTGCTGCTGCTGCTCCTCCTCCTCCTGGGGCTCCTGCTGCTGTTGTTGCTGCTGCTCCTGCTGCTCCTGATGCTGCTGCTGATGGAGGTGCTCCTGTAGCCTTTGCTGCTGACCCTGCTGCTGC